GCGGCCATGTTGTGCCTCTAGTGCCAGCGGCGTGTCTGGAGTGTATTTTTTGGCTGTGACAGACCTTTCTTTGTTTCGTGGGTGTTTTGCTGGCTCGTGATGGGGTGTGAAACGACAGTCTGTAGAGTTTTCCATCTGGTGTGGGTGAGTGATAATCTACTTTGATTTTGGTTAAGGTGGATTATCACTTACAGTGTAATCAGTGAGGGGATTCTACAGACTGTTGAGGGTGAAGCCTCCTGATGATTCGGTGAAACTCCGACGAAACAGTTTGTCACAGCCCCTCGTTTGTTGTCCTCTTCTCCCTCTCTGCCTACGGTTTACCGGGCAGTTCTATTTGACGATATATATATATACGTCAGAGTTTCACCGACTCATCAGAAGGCTGAACCCTCAACAATCTGCAGAATCCCCTCACTGATTATACTGTAAATGATAATCTATATATATATATATAGGGTTACCAGCCCATACGTACGGAGGTCCCCGGGCAGACCTCCGTACGTACGGGCGTTCGGGGTCCCGTACGGCGTCCGAACCCGATGGCGTTCGGCCCCCTCGAATTTTTTTTTCGGGACCTCAAAATACTGAGTTGGTCTCTGTTTACCTGCTTTGGGCTTTTGACCCGGTCCTTGGCTTTTCCGGTTGTGAATTTGATGCAGTCCTGTTTTGTTGACTGACAAGATGGGGTCGTGGGTCGGGTCGTGGTAGTTTGTCGTGTAATGACCTTCGTTAGTGTGTCTGTACGTTTTTGAAGTCGTTTATCGGCTCGATACGTGTGCTTGTTTTAGAATAGGCCTTATGGGTGTTGACGAGTCGTCGAAGGGGTGGGCAGTATATAGTAGTTTGGGGCGTTTGTCTTGGTCTTTGCGTTTTTGACGCTGCCGCGGCCTCGGGGCGGCGACTTGTTCGTCGGTCCTTTCGCGTGCTTCCATTGACAGCACTGGGCTTGCCGCTACATATGCCTTGGTTCTATCGTTTAACATAGTTAGCAGCCACGTGCTAGCATGGCCATTGTTCGGAGCTACGAGCAGCCTTTGTTCAATTGATGTTATGAATTTACAACGTGTATACTTCTGTATTTGTCATTGAAGTGTCTGCTGAGCGTGTTCGAGTTTGTTGTCTACGCTCTTGGTCTGAAATCTGCATATATGGTCGTAACCTGCTTGGAGATTATACCTGGATAAGGTGGCGATTAGTCGAAGGTTGAAGATTTAATTTCGTTCGTCGTGAAGTGATTGGTGATAAGTAGCCGATTGGCGAATTGTGTGAGTAGCTCGAAGCTTTAAGATGAGTGAAGGGAGCGAAGGGCATCAGGAAGGAACATCGAGGACAATGGAGGGTAGGAAGTGTTGTAAGTGCGGGGAGACGGGGCATTTCATTCGGGAGTGCGCAGAATATTGAATGGCGAAAGCTAGGGGAGTTCCCTTTGTGTCGGCTTCGTTTGGTGTACCAAGTGGCAGGACCGGGAGATCCGCAGTATCGGCGGCCCCGATGGACGAGGTGGCTAGACGAAGTCGATCAACCGACAGTAACGTTAGCAGACATGATACTGAGGAGACCAATGCGATGATGCGGGAGTTTTTGCGGAACTGGCAAGGGAAAAGAAAGAATGAAGAGAAAGGGAGGCATTGGAAGAGAAGAATAGGAAAGAAGCGGAAGCAAGAGAGGGGAAAGAGAGAAGAAGAATACAACGCGAAGAGGAGAGGCAGCGGCGGGAGGCGGATCGGGATGCACGGCTGCTTCGGATAATTAAAGGAGAAATTATGAAGGAACCTTCTGGTGGGAGCTACGGAGAAGCTGCCCGTGGAAAGCAGATTGCCAAATTAAATGAATATAAAGAAACAATGGAGGAAGAGAAAGAGCGTTTGAGACGAATGATCGCGAAGCATGAAGAGGAAGAGGGGGAGGCAGAAGATTTCGTTTGCGGGCTTCAAAATTGGAGATTAGAGAAAAAAGAAAGCGAGGTTCGGAGGTGGTGATTGGGAACAGCCCTCCGATGGTGACTCCGGAGAAGAAGACTAGTGTGAGACTGTTCGACGATGCGAAGCGCAGAATTGATGAATTGATGAAGACTCCTATCTCGGAGGGTGGATCATCCCTTGCTTCCCGAAAGATCGACCTCTCGTTGAAGCACATTTCGGCTTCATGCGGAGCGGGAGGGAAGGATAAATATGAGGACTGCAGGGATTTTTACAACGCTTTGTCTGTTGACGAGATCAAGGAGGCGTGCCGAAGGGAAAGAGTGTCATACGAAAATCGGGATGCTGCCATTAAGCGGTTAGTAATTCGGAAGTCCGTCGTGGCCTATGACCCAGCATACCTTCCGCTGCCCCCTACTCCGATAACAAGGGCAAGGAGCAAGCGGGGTGTCATCGAACCGAAGGAGGAGGCTGGTACACCCCCCGACAGTGAGAATTCAGAGTCCGAAGAGTCTACCGAGTGAGGATCGCGCGACAGTGAAATTTGCTGGAAGGAAGCACGTAAGTGCCGGGAACTTTGTTTGTGTAGAGACGGTAAGACTAAACGTGAAGAAAGTAGTTTGAGGGCGGCCGTCATTGGTTTGGTCCTATCTGGTAAATTGAAATGGGGGGAGAAGTTTGTTGGGTATTGGAGGGAAGGTGCTGAGAATGGAACCCTTGATCTAGTTGCCCCCACTAGTTGTGTGTACGGCTTGATTTCCCCCTGGTATAAGCAAGTTTATATCGGTTATACCGACAGGGATCTTTAGTCTAGGTGGAGGGAACATTACTGCTGCGGGAGAAGTGTTGGGAAGAAGCGAAAAAGAAGGCTGTATAATTGGGTATTTGGGAAGATTGGTGCCCACAATTATGTGGCAATTCCAGTATTTTTCAGTTTGGATAGGAGAGAACTCGAGGCGGTTGATGCTACCCTGATCAAGATCTGGTTCCCTGCCTTGAATTCTACGGCGGGGCGTAATGGAAATAAGGGCAGAAAGGGTAAGCGTCGGCCTGGCAAACGTGAAAGACATCGATTGCAATGGCGCCAACCTTTGGGAGCAAGGAGGGAGAAGGTGGTGAAGCAACGGAAGATTATCGAAGTCAAGGTACTGGGTTCAAGTGATGGAACGGTTAAGTTGGTGGAATTCTTGCGGTCGGTAAGTAAGAGTAGGAAGAAGAGGTATTCTAATTTGCAGATTGAAAGTTCGGGCGGCGATGTTTGGGCAGACGGTTGGAGGTTGGTGAGGAGATTGTTTGGGGAAAGTCGGGTAAAGTGGGGTCGAGGAACCAGACCACTTCGAAAATGCAAGTTCATGTTTGAACAGGGAGGGTTGATTACGCTGCGACGTGTCTCCGAAGCTTTTCCGAAACTTGAGCTGGAGTGTCTGGTTAAGTATTATGGGGCCGTCAAGACTTTTTCGACAAAGCGGAGTCAGTCTAAGGCTCGACTGCTGATTTCGAATGCTATCAAGGTGGCACATGGTTTGAGTGTTAGGAAGAGGATTATTACACGTATTAAGTTTGACGATAGGATAAAGAAGCGTGAGGTTACGAGGTTGGTTAGAAGGAAGGTGGAGGAGTTGGATCTGGTGAATCCGATTAAGGAAATGGTAAAACGACGGGCGCGTGATGTGTGGACAAAGTGCCCCAACGTGGGCAGCATTCTGCGCAATCATCGACGTTATGCGCCGAATGGCGCTTCCAGTTGTACTTGTGCTGGGTTAGCCTATCCTCGAATGGATGGGCACGTGCATTTCCGGATCGGTGAAGTTGAAGGTATTCCGCAGTTTGTTAAGAATGCGAAGAATGTGTCGAGACAACGTGAGCATGAGAGGGAGAAGAGATTGGCCGAGGAAGTCGATGAAGGGTTTCGGAGTTGGATGGTTGAGTCAGGGGTAAAGTGTGGAGGCATCAGGATTTCTCCTGATGAGACGAAAGAGTGTTTTGTAGAGCAGGGTGCTGATGACTACCGGATTTGTGGTATTGAGGAGGTTCGGGAGGTGAAGGAGAAGTTCAGTGGACTGGTCCTATCACCATTGGACAGAAACCCCGGCGACACCCTTATTCAATGTCCTGTTTTGTACGCTAGATCTGTGCGACCTGGGGAAAAAAAAGACCCCAATTATTCAAATGCCCAAATACCCTTGGCATCAATTGCCCCTCGGGCGACTTGCCCATCTCCTGCACGGGCTGACGGCCCTGGTAGCCTACAGTTTACACACCTTTCAAACCAGTTCTAAAACATTTCTCTGGAATGTCCATCTTCAATGAAGTACCTGCAAAAAAAAAAACACGAACCACCAAGAAATAAATCACACAATTGTTCAGCAAAAGTTTTGCACCACCTCAGGAACTACTTGGGACGCAGCTCCTGCTATCAGTGTCCGATTCAATGGCTCCATCTATAAGGTGGTGGTGGTTTAACATCCTCCTGGGATAATAGCAAGGTTGATAAGAGCAGCCCCTGCTATCAGTGTCCGATTCAATGGCTCCATCTATTGGTGGAGAGCAACTCTACAGACTCA